GATATTGAGAGATTTAACTTCAGACTTGATAGTCATTTGTTGAGAAGCTACTGTAGTAAAGGCAGCAGGTTGATTCCAAAATGAAAGGACTTAGACCAGTGATACAGAGTGGTACGCTTCAGTCGGATAGTTACTTCACTGCGAGAAGGGGGAGAACCTTTAGGCAATACATCTTATTTGCATATTGATAAGCCTAGATCGCTTTATTTTCCAAAATAGGAGCGCCCAGAAATTCCGAAACTCTGCCAGTGCATTTTATAACTGTTCACAACAGATAGCCGGTGGACGAAACGCATTGGTGGGCGAGATTTGCACACTAAAGGCTGAGAGTTATAAAAGCTACCGCTGACGTTCCCAAGTTGGGTATTTAAAAGAAGGAAGGGGTGGGTCATGATCGGCATTCATTTGGGTTGAAATCGTGAGGAAAGAGCGGGCAGCGCGCTACCAGCACGTGTCACTGGTAAGGCGTTTGCAACCCTTTGCAATGTGCAGCATGATCAGAACGGCAGTTAATGTTGCTTACACTTTGTTGACAAAAAGTTCAAATTTCATTCCGATGGGCAAAAAGATTAGGTGCAGTCTCCACTACTGTAATACGAAAGGAGGCATCGTTGGGTTAAAAAATCTTCAGTGAAATGGAGTCTCAAATTTAGAAATTTGCTTACGAGAGGAACTAGACGATAATAAGGTATTTGAATATCCTTGATAAAGTTCGAAAACATCTCTGGATCGAGTCGTTGGTTGGCATCAAGTGGCAGACCACTTGAGTCTTTTTTAACAGATATTTAAATAACTATATTAAGAGAAAAAAAGATTCAGTAATGACTACACAGCTCTCAAGACAAGTGGGCAGGGTCTGCATTCACTTATACGCTACCGCAACCGCTGCCATCAAAAAGGACAGTCGAGTCCCGGTTCGATGGCATGTTGAGTTGAAGCGCGCCTATAGCTCGTCAGGCACATGCAGCAAGAACTGCACAGCCATGTGAGAGAGAACTTACCCGGACGTTGTAACTAAATACATCTACCTCACTTCCACTTCGTACCCGTGTGTTTCAATGACAAGACAAAGCCAAAGTGACTAGAGGTGCTTCAATGTCGATACAAGGTTAAGACCGACGGATATGGCCATGGGCGCAGCGTCTGGTTTTTAGTAGTCCCGATGATAAGTATAGGCTACACTAAGAGGGAGAATTTAAACATAGACCTGAACTCAAGGGACCGAGATACAATGACAGTAAGCAATGTTCCAAGACATAAATCGCAGTTCGTTGTGACAGTGTGAATGCATTCACCCTTATTCGTTCTGATGAAGCGAGCGTAGGGCCGGCCTCAAATACTCTTTGACCTCGCGTCATGTAAAAATAAAATGACTACAAACGAAATCGGGTACACTGGCTGGCATGACAAACGGACTACATGATACGGCTGTAATCGCATTTGACCTTAAGGGCCCGATACTGTGGCGGACTGAATATATTGGTGTGAGGCGACCAGCGACAGCAAATCTGGAGATTTTGACCCAATTTCTTCTCAGGTGACAAAGGCTCGAGGTCCAAAAATTACCTCCACAGACGGTGTCGGACCAAGTTTTGAGTTGACCTCTTCGACGACACCAGGTAGGCAGCGACGTCAAATGAAGTACGACAGCGTTAAAGCCATGGGACGGACGGAGAAGAACGGACTCAAACTAAATTAACAGTTGTTTTTATTTATAGG